CCCCCCCCCCCCCCCCCCCCCCCCCCCCCCCCCCCCCATTCCTCCCTTTAGAGACAAAAACAGCAGAACACAAGAGAGGCGTTGTAGACCTTCGCAGCCATCAGAGAGAGTGGGGAGGAGCAGTAGAAACAGCAAGATACTCCATGTCGGTAACCTACACCCTGTGACCAATATCGCCCTTCTGCACACGCACACGCACGCACACTTTAGTAGCCAATAGAAGCTCACGCTAAACTCTCCTTTCCTGTTTGTATAAATGTGTTGAATCTGCAACATTATGCACAATACATTTAGTAAAACAAACCTCATCAAGTTAAGATGTCAACATTTGTTTAAACTTAAAATGTGATCACTGCACCATTCCCCTGGTGAAAGTGATTACAAACCACTACCAAGTGGACAAATGAGGCACTTATAAATAGCCGATGTGGGATTATGCAATACACATTTTGAAAAATGGTTGAGGGCAAAGGAGGAAAAGTTATGCATTTCCCCTGCTTGGTGTTTTGGGGATTATGAGGATTTGTCTACTAAAAGGGTCCAGCCAGTTTAGTCCAGCAGAGCTGACATGCAGCAGCCAACACACTCCTTCTCCTGCAGTCTGACCCACTGAGAGGCTGCTTTAGCAGGCTCACACGGCAAACACTGGCACGGTCCAGAATAAACAGGGGATGTGTCACCTTATCCACCAGGGAAAGAAATAACAACTATTGTAAAAGAATTTCATTGGCAGAATCTCATGTGGTTGGGTGTCTTTGCCGGTCCCGCGTGACTGTCAGCGGTTAATCAGCCTATAATCAGTTACCTAAGCGCATGATCCGGGCTCAGGATAAGGATGGGTTGACTATGGATAGGCTTACATAAATGGGTTCTGTTGCCGTGGAGATAACGACTAATGTAGCATGTGGGTAGTGACATCATTGCTAGTCATGTCTGAACCCCCTTCTGAAGGATGAGCCATTAGGCTGACACAGCACATGATTCGCGCACACACACACGCACACGCACAGTATGTAAAATCATCATCTTTTCACACACACAGAGGTTTACTTACAGTTTGAGCACGGCTGAGCGCTTGCCCAGCATCATCTTGACAAAGTCCCTGTAGTCTATAGTGTTGCTGCTGCTGCCGCCCGTCACCTCAACGATCATCTTTTTCAACTCCAGGTGGGTCTTGGGCACCCCCAGCTTCTCCATCATGCGCTTCAGGCCCATCATATCTGAGAGAAGGTGCAGTTGACAATCAGATCCGCGCTTTATTGAGAAAATATTAATAATTTGTATGTATTCAAGTCTGCATTTCAAAGGGTCCCTCCAACAACACTCCAACACACATTGAATTCACTCATCGCAAGGACCACGACAGCTGTATAATGTCTTATGCGTCTCTGGAAGGAGCTTTCCAAAGCCTGAAAAGACGCTGAGGACCTACGATTTTCAACAGAAAGCCTGCGTTACATTATGAATGTGTGTTTGGAGCTTCACGGATTCTAGGGACTAAAAAGTCAAGATATCTCTGGCACTGTAGCTTCATCACTAGTAAAATACTGGAGCAAAATGTCAATGTAATCCATTCTGTAGTTGTTGAGATATTTCAGATTGGGCAGTAGTGGCGGACCAAGCAACTGACATTGCCATTTTGCCATTTTGTTAGCCACTAATGTGGCTAAAAACAACACGCATGTTGACATGAAGGACAATTAGCAGCTTCTGTCAGGACCTGCAGACAGACTCTATCTCTGCGGTCGGACTCCCACGCTACAGTTCGCCTCACATCTGCTCCAAGAGCTTTCACACCGGTGTACAGTGTGGTCTCACTTTACGTACAGGACTCAAACATGACACACGAGCCTGTTCAAGCCCTGTGCTCACACCGGTCAGACAACACACACAGTATTAATTACTGCTGCCGCATGTCGACCCTGCACATGGGCCAGCTGACAGTTGGCGTTTTAGTGCTACCATTACTCACCGATCTCTCCTTGGTCATTCAGGTCAAACTCGGAATATTTATCTGCAAAACACACACACACACACAAGATCATTACTAACAGCTCACACACACCACTTCACCAAGAACAACATCTCAAACACCAATCCCCAGCTGGCATCTTGCAGACAGTGAAACTGTGTTAACAACCGCTGTCCAGTGAGCCGTCTTACACTCTGCTGACAGCTGAGCTGGCAAAAAAAAAAAAGACACAAACAGCTGATGATGACAGGTGTGTCGTGTGTGTTTTGAATGTCTCAGAGGAAAGCAGGCGGAGGGCAGCTGAGTGGGGTTGACGTCCGAGACAGATTAAAGTGAGAGGGTCAGAAGGTTAAAAGAGAA